CACTAATTGGCAGCTCCTTGACTCTTCGTACCCCTTCAAGAGCTGCAAGTATCTCAGCCCTCAAAGAATCTCCTTCCCCAATTGGTCCTGAAAACATAGCTAATAGATTCCCATGTTCATCTCTTATTGCTCCCCTATTCCAGATGGTCCTGGATTACCCATACTGCTGCCATCAAAATTCAGTTTAATAAAGCCGTTAGGTGGACTCCACCATGAATTTGATGCCTTCTTAGCTGAAGCTAATTCTGCAGTTTCCTTCCAGTTTTTTAACATCTCATCTACTGAGAAATCTGCAAACAATGCCAAAGTTTTCAGCCAATGTATCACCCTAATATGGATTACCTCCAAAATTACTTCCAAGCTTCTCTCCTTTTTTGAGAAAATCCGTGAGTTCCTCTCCTCCCAAACAGCCCAACAAACTGCAGCCCTCGTACATCTCCATATAATCTTGTCCCTTTTTGTTGGCCCACTCGGCATGTAACTGAATAAGCTTTGCACATTCAAAGGGGGGGTCCATCTGCACCCAAACAAAGAAGTACACCACTCCCAAATGACTTTAGTAAATCGATAGGAAATCAGTAAATGGTATTCAGACTCACCATCAACTTTACAGAGAGCACACCAACGAGGACACAAATAACTGTTGGGTCTTTTTCTTTGATGTAAATCACTTGTATTAACTCTTTCCAGAAAGGCTTCCCAAAAGAAACTCCCAACCTTAGGGGGTATAGGAAGACATTGCACCTCTTTAACAAGGAATGACAGACCCAAAGAAGGAGGTTGTGTTAGAGCTTTGAAGAAAGAAGCACATGTGAAAGAACTAGAGGGGGTAAGAGTCCAAATTCTACTGTCTGCCTTTGTTGGCTCTAAAAAGACCCCTTTAAGAATGGATAACAAGGATAAGATACAATCAAGCTCTGTGTCCCTGATTTCCTTTCTAAAGCCCAAGTTCTAGCTGAACCCAGAAGTTGAGTTAGAAGGAACAAGGAGGAAACTGGTTCATTTTTAAAAGTGGAAAGAGTAAAAAGACTTAGGAATTGGTCTTTTAAGGGAGAATCCCCAATCTAGATATGTTCCCAAAAATTGATGAGATTACCTGAGTGCAAGTCATACCTAATCCATGGAGAGAACAATGGCAAAATTGTAGCTTTCCATGGTGCTGCTCTTGTAGTCCTTGCCAGAATCCCAGAATCCCATCCATTGTTTGCTTCCCCATGAATACTGCCTACTATCTTCACCCACAACTTATCCTTCTCCAAAGAAAATCTCCATAGCCATTTCCCTAATAGTGCCAAACCTCCCTCCCTTATGCTCCTACAAACCGTTTCCCACCTAACCCTATGGTCCTTCTCCTCCCTTGGCTCCCAAAGAAAATCTCTCATTTGTTTTTCTAACCTGTTAGCCACCTTCGCTGGAATCTTAAAGATTGATAAAAAGTAGACAGGAAGGTTTGCTAATGTAGATCTAATTAAAGTGATTCTCCCACCAAGAGACAAGTAATTCTTCTTCCAAGTTGCAAGTCTCTTTTCAAACCTCTCCACAACCGGAACCCAAAACTCATCTTTCTGAGGGTTGTCTCCCAATGGCAAACTGAGGTAATTTAAAGGTCAATTAGAAATTGCGCACTCCAAAATGTCTGCACACTTCGATGTCTCCTCCTCCCCCATATTGACCCCCACTAGACAGCTCTTCTCAAAATTCACCTTAAGGTTTGACATTTGCTCAAAGAGTTGTATAGTGAGCTTCGGGTTTCTTATCCTATTAAGGTCCCCTCCTTCACAAAAGAGTACTTTGTCATTTGCAAATTGCAAATGTGTGAGTCTGCTCTAGAAATTAATCTCCAACCTCTTATTAAGTCCCTAGAGTCTGCTCTAGAAATTAATCTCCCCAAAACTTCTGCAACCATCGTGAATAAGAAAGGGGAAAGAGGATCTCCTTGTCTTATTCCTCTCAAAGCTGGAAAGAAATCTACCACTGTCCCATTTATCAATATGGAGTAATGGCATTTCCTAATACATCCCATCACCCACTTACACCACCTGTCTCTGAACCCAAAATTGACCATCACCTCCAGCAGGAAAGACCAATCCACCATGTCATAAGCCTTTTCCAAATCCAATTTGCATACCACCCCTTTTTTCTTGGGTCTCTCGAACTCCTCCAAACTCTCATTTTCTATAAGTATTTGATCTGTTATCTGCCTCCCTTTCACAAAAGCTCCTTGGTTGTCTGCTAGGAAAGTGGTTATGGAGATTTCCCTTAGAAAGTGGTTATGGAGATTTCCCTTAGAAAGAGATAGGCTATGGCACAAGGTCACTGCTAGCATACATGGTCTTTTAGACAATGGCTGGGGCGCAAAGGTGGCCCCCTCCTTAAATTCAACCTCTCCTTGGAAAGCTATTTATGAGGTCTATCTGTTTTTCCTTAACCCTTATTTGATATGATGTGGGAAATGGACTAAGAGTCTTGTTCTGGGAGGACCTTTGGATAGGTAAACTTCCATTAAAGGTCTAATTTCCTTTGCTTTATGCACTTTCAAATTACAAATCTGAACCCATATCTAAATTTGTGAGTTTCTCTGCCTCGGGTTTAAATTGGGTCTTTGGGTTCAGAAGGAGTCTTAGGGAATGTGAGTCTCTCATCTCTCTTTTGGCCAGACTCTGTTTTTTTGGATCAAAATGTAGAGGATACCAAGGTGTGGTCAATCTCCCCAAATGGCTTTTTTACTTGTGCTTCTTTCTGTAACTTCTTAATTCAGCCATCTACCTATGGGGTAAATTTCCTGGTGAAAGAAATTTGGAGTAAGTCAACCCCTCCTAAGATTCAGGCCTTTTGTTGGGAAGTCTTCCTTGGAAAGATCAACGCCTGTGATGTGCTGCAGAAAAGAAGGCCAAATAGGTGCCTTTCCTCTCACTTGTGCATCCTATGGAAACACAATGGTGAAACCGTTTCCCATGTCTTTCTATTCTGCCCTTTTGTGCTTTGTATTTGGGAGTATCTTTGTTCTCTTTTTGGCTGCAGATGGACTCCTCCATAGGAGGTGGTGGGCCTCTTTGATCCTAGCTTCATGGGGCAACCAAAGCAAAGAGGAAGATTGTTATGGAAAACAGCTAGGGCCGCCATGTTATGGACTATTTGGGAAGAAAGAAATGGAATGATCTTCAATGAAAAAGCAGATCAGAGGTGGAAATCTTAGAAAGAGTAAAGTTAAAAGCTGCTTATTGGGTCAAAACTTTGGAAGACTTCCAAGTATTCTCATTGAATGACATTTTGAGAACTTGGAAGGAAGTGGCTTTATCAGCCCAAAGAAAGGAAAAATCTTTATGGAGTGGAGACCCCCAACAACCAACTTTGTGAAGCTTAATTTTGATGGAAGTTTCCTTGGTAACCAGGATGTTGTTAGGAGGTGTCTTCAGAGACTCGGGAGGAAAGGTGTTAGCTATGCATTCAGGGCCTCTAGAAAATGGTGATGCACTGACAGCTGAACTATTTGGACTTCTACATGGACTAAAATTTGCCAAGCATTTTGGGTTCCTTAATTTGGAAGTGGAAGGGGACTCTCAAGTGGTCATCTTTTGGACAAGATGTAGCACCCAAATTCCTTGGATCTATAGGCATACATAGGGAGATTGAAAGATGTTAATTTCAAATGGGTGAGAAGAACAACAAATGGGATGGTGGATACTCTAGCTACTAAACAAGGGGCCATGAGACATCAAATGTTTTGGGCAAAGCTGTAAAAGTCTATTTTGGGGGAAGAACCTTCTCACCCTGTTGTAACTTTCTTATTTGGCTCTAATAAAATATTATCTTATTGATAAAAAAAAAGAATCCAAATCCTACAGTTCTCCTTTGGTGGGTCAAGAAAAAAAACCTCCAAGAAGCCAGTTTTTGTTTGGAAACAGCCTCTCTGTGTATCTGCAGGGGCAAGGCTGCATACATCTGTCCCTCCCCAGATCCTGCATTGGCGGGAGCCTTGTACACTGGACTGGACTGCCCAAGAAGCCAGTTTGTGTAATCTAGTTTAAATAATGTTTTGTTACTACCACTTTTTTTGAAGAGAAAATAAAAAGAATAGTACAATCTGAATAGGTGTCAAGGTGACACCCTAGAAAATTACTCTACACAGGATTGATCAATAATACAACTTGAAGCTTCAAAACATCCCAAAAAACTGTTCCCTACGGCTACTCAAATGACCTGAGCAAAAACTAGTCCCCCTGACACCCTTAGCTTTAAGAACAAGCCATTCTTTACTGTTCACACCCCAGAATCTTCCTTCATTGTTAGTACCACTTAAAAGGTGTCTTCTTAGACAGACAGACACACACACACACATGGTCGGGTGAAAAATTTATTAGTAAGACCAGGAAATCAAAGCCAGCATCTTAGAGAGACCCAAATATCAAGATAAGCCCCCACTTCACAGGGGCAGAAGCAAAAAAAAAAAAAAAAAGACATACAATAGCACCTCCCATGGTGGTAAAAATGTATCCTAGAGGAAAGTGCAAAGCAGGTTTCCTAACATCCTCCTTGGCTAGCTCGTGAGCAACCAAGTCAGTTTCTTTCAATTGGAGATACAGTTAAATAGGTAATAGATATAGGAACAGTATAACTCCTCTTCTGAACAAACAATGCACACACAATAGCAAGATAAGCCCCCACTTCACAGGGGCAGAAGCAAAAAAAAAAAAAAGACATACAATAGCACCTCCCATGGTGGTAAAAAAGTATCCTAGAGGAAAGTGCAAAGCAGGTTTCCTAACATCCTCCTTGGCTAGCTCGTGAGCAACCAAATCAGTTTCTTTCAATTGGAGATACAGTTAAATAGGTAATAGATATAGGAACAGTATAACTCCTCTTCTGAACAAACAATGCACACACAATAGAAGAAGGAAAAAAATAAACAGCTTAGGAATATTTTGATTATAAGGACAAACACATCTAATAATAGTATACTTCAAGCAAGATGTTTCCTAACTTGAAGTATGCACTTGCAGGAGCAATCTATTCTAAGCCTTGATGGTTACCATAATGGCACTGAGCAGAACATGCAAGGCTACTATGATGGCACTCAACAAAGAATGCAGGAGCTGGTACAACATGCTATGATATCACTAATTTAGAAAGAATTGAGATCATATCTACTTAAAGTGAAAGAATTGGTGTTCTTACTTGTTGTAGGGACAAATAAGTTCAGTGCCTTTAAGCCTTGATAGTTACTATGATGATCAAGGGAGCATGCAAGCAACAGTATGGCTAATTATTCTACTCAATTACAGTATGATAGCATGCAAGAAACATTATGTTTTCCATTATTTTATTCTTTTTTGTGCCTTTTTTTTCTTATTACAGGGAGAAATAAACTCAAGGGGGCTAATTTGTGATGATTCTTTTGCCACTGAACAAAATACAGAGACACTAGTAAGGCATATCATATGACTATTTGGTTCAAATCACTTGTAAGAAAATATTGATATAATATCAAAAACAATATCTGAAAGAAACTGGAGCATAACTTACAAAAGGTTTTCATAGCTTTTGCAGGCAGGCTCCAGGTTAGGATCAAGGCCATTAGATGACATGATGTCAGCACATTTGCATGAAAAGGATCTCTTTCTTTAACAGCACTCTGTCAAGGTGATTTCATGTCTCTTAAATTCTTAATGCTTTTAGTGGAGGAAAGAGCAAGATATCCTACTTGTTGACTAATATGAAAGATCAAAAACAACATTCTGTCAAGGAAAAAAAATCATAATAAACATATTCTGTTGTATCTATATTTTGATCAAGTTATTTATTTATTTTTTGATAATTGAAATAATTTTATTAATCAGCAATAGACAATAGTACAAAGTCCCCAAGGAAAGGCACGAGTTGCAACCTCTCCGGGCTAGTTAAGTACAGATTTCCAAATTAATAACT